ATATCAAGCTCCTTGATCCATTTTGAGTTAACTTTTGTGCATGGCGAGAGAAAGGGATTCAGATTCATTTTGTTGCATATGGATTTCCAGTTTTCCCAGCACCATTTGTTGAAGATGCTATCCTTTCTCCATTGCATGCTTTTAGCACCTTTGTCAAATATAAGATAGTTGTAATTTTGTGGATTGTTCTCTGTGTCCTCTATTCTGTACCATTGGTTCCCCCGCCTGTTTTGGTACCAGTACCATGCTGTTTTTGTTACTATTGCTCTGTAGTATAGTTTGAAGTCTGGTATCGCTATACTGCCTGTTTCACTTTTCCTGCTTAGAATTGCTTTTGCTATTCTGGGTCTTTTATTTTTAAAAATATGGAACGCTTCACGAATTTGTGTGTCGTCCTTGCGCAGGGGCCATGCTAATCTTCTCTGTATTGTTCCAATTTTAGTATATGTGCTGCCGAAGTGAGCACGATTATGATATTTAAAAAAAAAATTTTGTTGAAGTTGGACATAATACCTTTATTTTATCTTTATGTGGTGCTAAGGATGGAACCCAGGGTCTCGCCCGTGCTAGGCCTTCACTCTATCACTGAGCCACAATCCAGTCCCATAATATTTTTAATAATATTGTATTACATCTACCACTAAGTCAATTCCTGACTTTCAGAGACCTTCATATTTTAATTATATCCTTTCCCTGAACCTCCACCCTCCTGTTGTGTTCCATCTTTGTTCCTATCCAACTCTTATTTCTTTTTCTCCTGGATAATTATTTACTGATAATCATTAATACAGTTTCATGTTTGATCTTTATATATGTCATTTTCCATTGTTTTACTTTTTTTAAATCTTATTTTCCTTATCTCTTAAAAATGGCATTAAGAAATGGCTTTAAAAATATGACAATCTTTGTACTTTGTGTGGAACATTTAATCCTTTTCGTGTAATTATATATTTGTATTTAAATCTTCTGTTATTACTTTGGAAGTGATACTCTGGTTGCTTTAATAAAAGATTTTTATTTTCCTTGATTTTCTGCAGTTTGACTACAGTGTGTTTTGGTGTCAGTATCTTTTATGTATCTTATTTGAACTTATTAGTCTTTTTGAATTTGTAATGTCTTTTATTGAAACTGGAACATTCTCAGCCATTATCTTTTAAAATAATTGGCTCCATTTTTCCTTCTCTAAGACTTCAGTTGAACAAATACAAAACTTTCTCATTTTAGCCTCTCTTGTCCTCTTTTATGTGTTTTATATCAGTTTGTTTTTCTGTGATGTGTAAAAACATTAAATACCAAGCTAATCATTGATGCACCTTTATGAATCCTATTTGATTGTTATAATTTAAGTTAAAAATATTTTTCTCTTCCATTCATATTTTCAAGAAAATCTTACCTCTTTATATTAAGAAATTCCTCGACTAGAATGTCAGTTTTGCCAACTTTTAAAAAACTTTCTATTCACATATTTCTTTGAAATTGCTTAAGAGACGCTGGGCTGGTCAAAATGACTATATAGTCATAAATTATTGTTATGTCTTATCACAGTTCACCTGATGTACAGTTTGACAATCATTGTTATGAGTTTTGAACAGGAAAGTGATAGAAAAAGTCATTGATTTTTTTTTTTTTTTTTAGTTTTTTAAAATTTTGGCTGAGTAGTTTTCCTGCATAGTGATGCAGTAATCATTTCAAGCTGTCCGAGTATAGCTCAAAAGAATTTGTTATAGAAATATGAGTGTTTGTCATATTGACTTATTTCTTTGGTTGATTTTGCTTTGCCATTTTCTGGCTACCTTTTAAAAGTTTTCTTTGCTCTTTCTTCATTCATAGAAACTTAGCATTTTAGCTTTTCTTATGGTACAGATATAATTGTTTAATATAGATCCCTGATATGAACTTTTGACACATTTGGGATAGTTGGGTTTTTGGGATAGTTGGGTTTTATTCTAATTTTGGAATAGGATATTATTTATTGAAAAGCTGCATAGGTATTTCAAAGAGTTCTTGTATTCCCCTTATACAGTTTCCCCTAATGTTATAATTTTACATTATCTGGTATATTTTTCAAAACTACTAAACCGACTTTGGTATATTGCCGTTAACTGAACAACAGGCCTTACTCATATTTCACCAAGTTTTTTTCACTAAATTTATTTTCTTGGGTATCATTCTGTACTTAGGGTTTGTTAATTTTTTATTGAACATTTTGTTATATTGCAAGGGCATTATTTAAGATGGCTAAATTGGATTTTCTGAAATGTTTTTAAACTATATGCTAATTATTGGACCTCCTTATTCCAATATCACACATTTGCCTTAAACTAAATAGAATTTTGCCTGTCTGGTATTCCAAAGTAGAACACTGGAAATCATTTTATTTTTAGACTTGTTGCCTGCATCACTCATTTATTCAACAACTAAATGTTGATTCCTTATGTTATACCTGGTTCTAGACTAGGATGAGGAGTTGCTGGCTAATAAGAACATAATTCTTGCTCTCTTAGAATTGATATGCTATTTGATCCCCTGTGCTTAATCTAATTATATCCTTGAATTTATCTCTAATCAAGGTTTCTTAACCTTGGAAGTGGTGACTATTTGGGGGTGAGTTAAATTTTTGTAATAGGCTGATGACCTTTGCACTATAGAATGTATTATTAGCATCTATAACTCCACCCACTAAATGTTGGTAGCACCCTCTCTGGATGGTAGCATCCAGACAATGCTAGTACCTCTAGGACAAGTTACCATTTCTCTAAACTTTTTGAAATRCAAATATGATCATGCCTTGCCTCCACTTCTCTCTTCAGTGACTTTAAATAGTCTCAGTTGTTTTAATGGGGCACAGAAAATTGACCTTTTCTCACCTGTACCTTGTGCTCTCCAGCATTGTGCAACTGTTTGGCAATTCTTAGAGTCAGACATGTTTTGTTTTGTTATCCCTTTGTCTCTTCACAT